GAGAGAGAGAGAGAGAGAGAGAGAGAGAGTTCATGCCAACAGAAACACTGTTTAGGTACGCTTGTCTGACAGAATTATGCATCTTTTATGTTTTGTTGACTATGAATATAAAGAGTGTATTTCTGTGTTGGCGCTAAATCTTATTCACCCAAATTTCCTCTCATGGATCAATAAAGTTTACTTTATCCTATTTTTCTGCTGTAAATTTGACGCTGTGAAAGGTTAAGTCTAATATGTAACTAAAGATTTCTCAATCAGAGATACATAAAACAGTAGTTGTAATAATTAAGAAAAAAGTAAACAAAGTCAGTACAAGAATGTTAGGTGATTTTCAACTATATTTCTTTTGGTGTTCACAAACTCCCTAAAGTATAAAGAAAAAAATCATAACATACATATACAGAAGAACCTGTGTAAGACGAAATCGCAAGGGAGCCAGAAAAAAATTGTCTTAGACACTTTCCCTCTTAGACAGGAATTTAGGGGGGGGGGGTTCAAAGGCCCAGCCGGTGGGATCAAGGGTCGCTTGTCCGGTGAGCAAGCAGTGGTCAAAAACTTCACACCTCTCCACTGCTATCCTCTCTGATAATGACATGGGTCAGTCTTACTTATCCAATTACCACCAGTGCTTGCATTTCATAAGACCTCTGTTTGACCTATTAAAAACAGAAACGTTTGACCATCTCTTTTGCTTCCACCCGTAGCCCCAACCGTCGGTGTAACAAGCACAGTCAACAAATACCACCCCTCACTACCATGTAACAATGATTTGAGGAACTCTTTTCTCCGCTGGCCATACGATCAGGGCGGCAGACATTGGTCAAACTAATTTCACACCTCTGGCTTCTGGCTACCCAGGAAAGTTTCCGTGGTGGCTCGCTACTTGAGCACTTTCACTGCCACCCGCGAGATTTCATATCCACACTACCCTGACCATCTGCATCACCCAGGGCTCACATAGATGGGGTAACATCTACCCCTAAATTGCACCCCTACTCCCCTTCCACACCAGGCAGCATGGCGTTAAGTTTAGAGCCAGCTGAACCAAATTTGCGAGTTTTGTTTCAAATCAGGGCTGAGCGAGCAAAGCATTTTCCATCTTGACAGGTGAAACCCTTGGAAGGGAGCGGATTTTTCTTTCAGTTTCCGCGTTGGACAGGTTTCCGTTTTATACAGGTAATTAAAGAAGAATATTTCAGGGGGGGGGGGGGGCTTTATGACACAGATTTCCGTTAAGGCAGGTTCGACTGTATATTACACACTAAAGAAAAGTGTCTTACCAGCTTCAAAAGTTGAATTTTTGCCCCCAACTGTTTTATGGACTTTGACCCCTCCCCTGGAGCTCTCAGAAGATTCTGTTGACCACCGTCTCTTTGAGGCTTTGTGAACAAGGTAGTTATCCTCTTCAGAATCTGAAAGGACACATGTGCAGGTTGTCTTACCACAGTATAGTGAACAAACTGATCTCAATTTTTGTTTTAGTAGGCCTTTTTATGGCACTTGGAACATAATAAGGTAATATAAAAGTGCCAAAGATAAGAAGTATTACAAGAGAGTAACATAAACAAAAAAGAAGGAGGCAAAATAAGGATGATAGATGCTTGATAGGAAAGAAAGAACAAACCACACTAGAGCATCTGCCAACCACCCAATGACCTCTGTAAACAAATTGAAATTGACCTCAGTAGTAAACTACATTATACTGAAACACAGTGAGTGTAAGCTGGTAATCAAATGGATACCTGTATATAATCATAATTAGACCATCCCCTATTTTGTTGATGTTTTAATTTTGGTATCAGAATCAGAATCAAGCTGTATAATTTATCTCAGGAGCTTTGACATCCACTCCTACTGCAGCTTGCAAAATCCATACAAACCTGGAACCTTTGGACCTGCCTAGAGAGGCAGCAGTTGTGGAGATGAGTGAGCGTTACAAGACACCAGACAAAAGCCACCCAAACAGAAAGATGGTTGAACAGAGATGACCAAAGAAAAGAATCCATGGAAGAACAATACTCAACAAAGCCACCGAATTAGTAGAAAAACACCACCTTCCATGTAACAGAGAAATGCTGAAACCCTTAAGACCAGAACTCCCCCCAAACACCAACATCAAGAACGCCAACATTGAAACTTCCCTCATATAGGAGACAGTGAAAAAGGAATGTGACCCAGTAGAACTGAAGACCACAGCTCTCAAAACAATTGACTCCTACCAAAGTAATCCCCTCCATATTTACACTGATGGGTTAGCCTTCAAGGCAGGCTTTGAAGTAAGAATAGAACATCCTGACAAGACGTGTGAAGAACTATTTGATGCCTGTGGTCCTTCATGTACAAATTATGAGGCTGAGGCCATCAACATTGAAGCAGCACTCCTCCATCTGACCAACATTTTCATTATATATCCAGACAAAATCAAGGACACTGTAATCTTAACAGACGGAAAATCAGTTCTCCAAGCTTTGGAAAACATGAATTTTGAAAGCACAGCCAGCCTATCTGTGGCTCAAACAATTAACACCTTCATGCAGACCTATGCCGTCGACCTGACTTTACAGTGGATACCTGGCCACAGCAACATCCCAGGAAACGACAGAGCAGACATCCTTGCTAAGAAGGGAGCATCACAAACATAATCTCAAAACCCAGTATTGCAACAGACAGCCAAGAACATCATCAAATGCAACACTAGAAAATAGTGGCTGAATGGACTGGCACTGGGCTAAACTGGCAGAGCTGCATTTGCACACATGACTGCTTCCAACTCAAAAGATGAACCAACTTCCTGGAGTAGAAGAGAACAAGTCACTATCTTTTGCCTGTGAACACAACACATTCCACTGAATTCTTACCTGAATAGGATCTGCAAGGATACCCAACCTGACTGCTCGGTGTGTGATTGCCAGGATGAAACAGTATTACACCATATATTTTCCTGCTGTGCACTTAGCGACCTGCAGAGTACTTACCTACCAGTCTCCCCAGATATTGGAAATACTTTATACAGCGATAAAACACAGCTGATAAAAACCTGTAAATTCTTTGCCATATCGACAGGCTGAAGGGCTAGAACCAAAATCACCACTGGATCGGAAAAGTAATGTAAGTAACATATCAGTTAAAAATGCACTCACGAGGAATTCAATTCCATTTTATCATCCTGAAACCTATAAGCAGAGAGACGCCTTTCAAAGTCACAAAAGAATCTTTGAATTGGCAGGGCCCATTCTAACTGCATGAAAGACAAAAAAAAAACCTTTCTCACACAAAAGACATAGATAAGTTATACTCGTGAAAGGAAAGACCCACCTGATCTCTTGTTGGCAGTCTTGGAAGATTTATTGCCACATTTAGGACATTGGCGTCCTTGCGGAAGTGAATTGAGGCTGAAAAAGTTCTCGCAACAGCCCAAACTCTCTCTGAAGCCGTCGAGGAAACGAATAAATTGCGAGACTTTGTCATAGGAAACAATTCTTTTGGTGTAGGTGCGGTTGTTGTGGAGAGCTGGAAGTAGAGAAAAACCTTATGTCAATGAAAGAAAAATTTCTGAAAAAAAAAATCTCATCCATTTATAATATGCCATTTCAGGTCACTTTCAACATACAACAGCAGACAAGTCCTAAAAAAATAATTAGCGTCATACTCATCTCTGAAACGAACAGGGGGATTTTTTCTTTCCTTTACGATTGTCTACTAGCTCTCATGTCTGAGAAAATTTTAAAAAACCCAACAAATTCTGCAATAATTACAGGTACAAGTCTAAATTGTCTCAAATGTGCTAAATACCTGCTTTTTTTCCATCAAAATTTGGAGGGGAATCAGATAACAAACTGTAGAATATCAAAATAGAATTGCTGTAAATAAAAACTCTGTCAAATGCATATGCTGATGCAGAATAATGAGACATGTTATAAATTGACACTCCCACTGAGACTCTCGAGGACTGTGGCAAGGAAATTGTGCTCCCAATGATGCACGACAGTAAATGTTAAAAGTACCTCATTCTGTCAGCAGACCTCACCTATCATATATAAAGCATCTTTCAAACTATTAGCAAAATATATATTTATATAACTGATATTCTTGCAAAATCAATATTTGATTTTGACTACAAAGCTACTATTTCATCAAAATTAGAACTGGAAGCAGAATATGTTGAAGAGAAGAGTGCTAGCAGTTCTCAAACGCTATTTAAGCAAAAACATTTTCATCTTTTGTTTTCTCAATTCTCACTAGTTAACTCACTTCAAACGGTTCCCACAACAGTTGCGTGACCCCTGCCACGGCGCTCGTGACCGTTCTCGCAAGCCGTGCGTGATCACCTTTGGAATTGTTTTTTCGCTATACAAATCACGTATGTGTCTTGTGATCCGTCTTGTGGCCTTGTCTGGCCAGTCCTGAGCTACTTAGACTTAGTTTCGTATCTCCGAGGCCGATAGTCTTTAAGTAATTGAAGGTGAAGGATAGTCACCCCAACTGGGGTTGAACTGACCGGAACTCGCGCTATGTTTTTTCTACACAGCTGATAGTAATTTGACAGTCGCGTCGAAGTTACGGTCGAAGAAGTTGCATGAACAAGAATCACATAATTTCGCTGTTTTAGATACTTCTGTTCATTTTACTAGGGCTAGTGACTCAGAATATAATGCGTCTGATAGGATAGTTAGGATCCTGGATATGTACCCGAACACGGCCCGAGTCGTATTCTTAGGGCTAGATCTAGCACTAGTACTGGTGCTGTTGTTAGCGCAACGAACTCACAACTTCCTGCCCTACATCTGTCCCAGCTTTTATATTGTTATCAAACACAACACTCACACATGCATACAAATCAAAACAGAACACTTTGAACTTTTATTCTTGTTGTTGTTGTGGATTTCCTTCTATCTGTCACGTCTCTGGAAATTTTTTTAGGAAAATCCAATTCATGCCAAATTTTTTAAAAATCATAAAAATTAAAGTATCAGACTTATACAACTTTAGTTTTTTTAAAATTAGACTAAGCTTGAATGTAACTTTACTGTGTCAAAAAATAATTACAATAGGGTAATTCTGAGAGTTGTGGTGGTGTTTTGAACTACTCCCAAAAACACCAGTCTTCAGCGCTTGTGACTGGTGAAAGGGCCCACTAGTCAGTGAATTAATCCATTCATCATTTTTTCTTTTCACTCCTAAAAAGCATCTTACCTGTAATAGTAATCTTTCCTGTCCCTGGAGCAGCCATTTTGAGGACATCAAACACCTGGCGTTCTTGTACGGCACACTCAATACAGGATTCCACCATGTCGCGGAGGACTTCGCCAATAGGTGCTGGACCAAAGTGTAAGGGCATCTGGTTCACCTTGCGGGGCTGGATGAGGTTGCCACAGTGGCAGTTGTGGTTCACATGCACACACACTGGACGCATCAGACAAAACAAAAAATAGGTCAAAATTTTGTTTTGATAGAAAGATACAGACACAATAATCATTATTTCATGTTGAGAAAAGGCAAGACAGATGGACAGAAACACAGAGAGATACAAAACAAGGACCTACCACTAGTACTCTCTAATCACCTTTTTGGCATAATGTTGCATGTTACTGGCATAACAATGGTTAGCAGTGGTTTAGTAGTTGTAAAAAAATATTTAATCCGTTTCTTATAGGTTCATAAAAAAATATGTAAAATAAAAAGGAGCTGATCAATACAATTGAGGTCACAGTGTGAAGGAAAAAAACCAAGAAGACTTACAGAAATACGGGGTGGATAGAGAAGAACCTGAACCTATCACCAGTAGCATGCTCCAAGACACAAGCCCTATATCTTATTTCATTATTTGTTTAGAGTAAAAAGAATCTCATCAACTCGATAAATGTAATTTAGCGTTGAGAAAGAGTAAGACAGAAACAAGAGAGGGAAGAGACAAAAAAAAAGGAAGTAGGACTCATCAATGGCACCCTCCAATGACCCACACTCAACTCACATAATTGAAAAGAAAAAGATGAAACAAGAAAATATTGAGGGGGGGGGGGGGGGGCGGTGAGGGGTGCGGGTGGGGAAATGAATGACAAAAAGCAATGACAAAAAGTCTCTTGATACCTTTCTCACTACTGTCATTGCCAGTGGTGTCTGGCTCAGAACTGGTTACAGCACTCTCGTTGGGAGACAGGTGGCTTGCCTCCCCTGAGCTGGGTGTCAGAGGGCTGGCCTGGGAGTTGCGTGGGCTGATGGACGGACTGCCACTTGCAGCACTACCACTCACGCTGACACTTAGCTCTGGATCACGCATCATTTTTGAGCTTTTATAGGAACTGGCTGTAGGTGGATCAAAAGAACATTATGAGAGGAAATTGACAAAATATTTTTTGTATAACTGAAATGGTATAGGTGTAACGCTGCTGTCAATACTATTACGTTATTCAAGAGGCCACAATCAAATGTAATTAAAAATAACATTTCTCCAGAAGAATATTGGATGTACAAAACTTGACTTGAGCGCCTTCCAACCAATACAGGGTTGTTGAGTACGGATCAGCAGTACCACATGCAATTACTTTTGGAGAATCTTAAGCCCAAAGCTTGAGGTTGAATGAGTGTGTGTCTCTGATGGTGTAATTTTTGTCTGGTTGTTTCGTCGACATCAACTTTGGTGCTGACATTCTACCAAAAATAAGAAAACCTAAGCCTACAGCTTAAGTTAAACCAAAACAGTTCTAAACACCTCTTAAATCTCTGTCCCCCCCCCCCACCAAACATGAATAGCTTTAAGACAAAAAAGTGACTATTTCTGACCATTTATCAAAAGTGAGCAATAATTCACCCCCCCCAAAATAGAAAATAGAGAGATATTGAAAGACAATTTTTGCACCTAACAAACAACGAAAGACTAGAGTAAGTTGCTTGCAAGCCATCTCACCTTTAATACCGGGACTTTGTAGAGGATGTCCACTTTTCTCACACCAGCGGACAGGAAAAATATCTCTGGAGTCATAGCGACACCAGTAATCAAAAGCACCGCGCCATCCATCGAATGTTATGTGGATCTGGTCATCATTAATAGCACCAACTGTTGCCGGGCAAATTAAAGCTGGGTTCTTCCGGTCTACTGCTTCCAACTTTTGCCCTACTTGGAATTCGTTGCGTGGTGGGGAAGGTGGTTCCTGTAAAAGATAGAGAATATCCTGTTTTATGGTAAATCATAAAGCTATAATCAACATAAAAACTCTCCTAAGGAAGGTTTTCTATCCTTCAAACACTTGATATCCAAAATGTACCCTTACTTTTCATATCCGTAAGACTCAAACATCTTCCATTTCTATGATTTTATAATCATTACAATAACTAACAAACACCAGAAGTTAAACTAGAGAAAAGAAAGACAATAAAATATAATTCAAGAAAAAAGCCATAAAAAGCCATAGTTCAGAAAATATTGAAATTCTAATTATACAAGTATCTGGACTTTTCACAAATACCTTCTTAAAGCAGCTGTCAGGTGCAAGGGTTGCATTGCTTAAAGTCCTCTGTAAGAACCCTGGCCAACTAGAGGAGTTCATTCGGAAACCTGTCAAAATGTAAAAAACTCTACAGATAGCATTTTTAACAGATAACGAAAACCTGCTGTTTTAGAAAAAAAATTATAAAAAGGTAAACTGTTCTAAAAAACTGTCAATCAAAAGAAATATGACAGCTACAGAAACATAAATTTTCACTAATAGACTTTAACTTACACCAAGAGTGTCTAAACATACCACAGGAGCAGCTGATTTTGGAGAGGCCCTCAATAACTTGCTTTTCATTCAAACACCCAGAGGCTTTTCCATCTACATGACAACTATAAAATACAACTCTTGTTGTGATTGATATGACAAAGTGCCATAGAGAGAAATCCTCCTCCTAAAAATAAAATCCATAAATTTTAGTAATCAGGTCTCACCTAGTGGTGGTTGCAACAAGCCACGGTGTTTTTCACAATAACCAACAGGATGCAGATCCCCCGAGTCAACCAGTCGCCAAAAATCATTCTTGTCATCACTGCCATCGAGCCTCAACCTCAGTCGTGGTCCTTGCATATCGATTACTGTTGCAATACAGCTGGATGTGTTGTTGCGAGGGTCATTTGCTTCCAGCTTCATCATTTTACCAAAGTCATTTAATGGTGGAGCTACTGCCTGTTCACAATTTCAAAGCACAGAGTTAACACAGGGTCTAAATATTGAATCCAATATCAAAGTTAAAAACCTGTACTATTTCAAATGTGTTATAATGCACAACCTGAACTTATCATCATCATTATTCAGGCTGAAGAGTTCGAACTTAGATGACCATTGGATAGGAAAAGAAAAGTAAAGTACCATCATCATTACAGAGGAGCCACAACAGTAAAAACCTCCTAGAGGTGCACATTTTGATCCCTCTTCAGCTGAAGATCATGCAGCAAAAACATTCATCTTACAGTCAGCTAGCTTTTGTATAACTATTGACAAAAATATTTTAACAACCAGTGGAATCAAGATTTATCTTGACAGAGCAAATACTGACACATGCGACATTCAAGTTTTTTTTATCTCTTCTGAAAGCAAAATAATTCTTTATTAATGATGATGCAATCCCTTCAGACTTAAACTAATGAGAAAAGATGCTAGTGAGTCTACATGCTGATCAAATGTTCCTGGACAGAAACACAATCAGGTCTGACATCATTTTGACATCATTAGGGATTGTAGTAGATTGACTGAAATAAAAATTATACTGCAATTATCAGGGTGTCCAGCAATTTTTCCTGAAAAAATTTACTACCTGGAAAAAAAATTTACTACCCAGCAAATCAAACCCCACACCAGCTCGAAAAAGGGAGTTAATTTGCGCCATCAATAACATGTACATTATTATTACATAACATACTATTTAAGAACACACAACAAAGTCCAGTCGACAAAATGGAGGATAGACAGACGATCGCAAGCTTGCTTGCAGCTAGATTTAGTTTTAGTAAGGTTTTTACGGCGCTCGCAACTGCATAGGTGATATGAGCGACAAGGGGTGGATGTCAACAGAGAAGTCCAAACAGGGAATCAAGCTTCGACTATCAAGGCACCCAGGAAATAGTAGTTCACAAGCGTGGCAAACATACAAAAGAAGTAGAGGAAAATGACGATAGAAAAGAAGAGGACAGAAAAGGCAGCAGTTCCCCTTACGCTGGTCCAGCACAGTATGAGCATGACATTGATAAATCAGCCAATTTATAATTCTACTGTGCATAAGAACATGTTAATATCCTCCCTTTGGGAATGGCCTAAAGACGTTTCAGTCAGTAGCAGCACTGCCCTGGTGGAGGTGGGAGGGGGAGGGGGGTAGATTTATACCTAATGTGTACACACAGGGTGACTGCCAAACCGGCTTCTCCATTTTCCAAGGCCATGTTACACAACAACAACGCGCGCGCACACACACACACACGTAATGACTCGAGTAAACGTATTCAGTGTGAGAGGTGTAAAAACTGTGAGAGGGCAAGAGAAAGTGACACTGAAAATCTGCCAGTCTTGAACAGAAAGCTACAATATTGTTCTAATTTACTATCACCCAACAAATGAAACGCGAACACTTTATTTCAATAACACGGCTTACAAGGTATGAAGGATCCCGATTCCACACAAGGCCTGCACCAACGCGCGCTTTGCAGAGGGCTCTAAATCTAATCAAAATTCTGAAATTTGCTTACAGTTTTTGTCCTCTGGTGTTGCCTTCATCCGCTCCCCCCCCCCTCCCCCGAGTGTCTCTTTAAAAAAATCAATAATCCCTGCCCTACTCCGCAGTCCTATACTTCGCAACGCTCGACTTTTAATGAACTTTGGCGTTCCCAACAAACGCCGGTGCTCACCGATGCCGTACCTTGTAGTGCCTCGCGCGAAGGTTCACTGACCTGTCACGCTGGCGAACCCGACAATCTAAAAATCGGACAAAGCTTGTATTTTCTTTTCACGACCCCCCCCTCCCCCCACAAGTGACAGCACGCTGAAGAGTCCGAGTAATTATTAATTTTATTTGCACGGCGACAAAGCGGGTATACTGTACAACCTGCATATTACAAATGTTGCGTTATCAGTTTATCTACGCCAAATTTCAGGGAGGTAACGAAAGCGAAAGTAGATCTTGATTTTCCCGATCGAGCCTCGGTGTCACATACACTTCCATCTGCCGCCATAGCCGGCTTTTTGCGCGAAACGTACTCTCGGACGGGGAAAAGGTGAACGAATAATTATATCACAATCGCGACCGGCAAAAACGGAGTCATGTACTGCGGCTAGGGTTCACTGAAAAGTCTTGCTGGCTTCATCACTCAGTATGCAGGCTAATTTACGACCGTTTACCAAATTTTTACTACCTTCAAGACAAATTTACTACCATTTACGACCAGGGCGCTGAATTTACGACTTTTTTACGACTTTACTGGACACCCTGAATTATTCATATTTAGTTTCTTCACTGTTACTTCATTCGATTATAAAACCAACATAGAATACATGGCATCACATTTTCCGGTTTATAATAATTACAAAAGAAAAAATTACCTGCTTGAAGCAAGAACTGGGAGCAGCCTTTGCATCATTCTCTTTGAGATATTGCTCCCATGAGAATCCTTCAAAAAAGAAAGGAGAATTGTCTTCAACTATGAAGACTCATAACTCTTCACAGTACAAGCGCTACAAGAGAATCCTCTATAATTAGTAATATAATAATGGAATCTGAACTGAACCCTAACTGAACTACTACTCTATGCCATATAGGTAGAGATTCTTGCAAGTGTTCAGAAAACACAAATTCAAAAAGAGTGTAAAACAGTTTTAGGGAATGACCACCACAGTATGTCCTTGAGCAAGACACACAAAAAGGACCCTAGAGATTATTGTTTTCATTTTGAAGAGCAGCCCATTATAACACATTATTTACTTTAGATGCAATTTACTTTCATGAATCTGGCTGAAACAACTATAAGAAAAGAAACGGAAAAAATCTTACCTTGCTTTTCCTGTAGATATGACCAACCCTTTGCAGATGTTGTAGACATTGTGGCTGATCTAGAAAAGACCACAAAAAAACCCCTATAAACAACCTCTACAAAATCATAGAGAAGTACTTGCAAAAACTAAAATAATTTCTTATAGTAGCTGGTGGGACAAGAAGTACAAAAAAAAAAGTATCCATGACACAGCAGCAAATTAAATTGCATATTGTAAAAAAATTAAATCTTTACCATCGGAGTGATGATGGGAGTATTGATTCATGACAAATCTTGTTTTGCATCAATGTATACATTTGTGGTGATTTTTATTTTACAGCAATCCTATTTTTGGCAACTAGTTTATTATACTGATTTCCTTCCAAACTAGGATGCGAAACAGTGGCTTTTAAGAACCTTTGGGACAATTTAGACCTATAATTATTACAGAACTGGATTTTGGGATATTTTCTTAACAGAAAGAGTAAGAGAGCAATTGTAATGGAAAGACGAATCCCCCAGTCCATTTCACAGGTGAATATGAAACTAAACCTATTGATTATTTTAGGACTGTGAAGATGAATACAATCAAGAGCTAAATCTAGATTGGTGTGGCAGCTTTGATAATGACAGCACTGATGATTCACTGTTCTGAAAGGGTGCTATGAAATGTTTATTTTCCCACCCTAGAAATATAAAAAAAAAATATAAAACAATACCATAAAAATCTATTCTACTTTTTATTACTTTTAAAATGGTACTAAAAGTGTTATAAATGCTTTGGTGTAAAACGTGTTTATGTTTCGTGTCTCGAAAATGTCACCCCTCAAAACTTGGACCCTTTCGAAAACTAATTCAGCAAACTGGGGAGAAAAATTATGACGATAAAGAATATATAATTATATCTTATAATAATGATTTCCGAAGCTTCTCAGTCAACCAACTGAAGCCCTTATGGTAAGATTAAATTTTAGGGTCTGGAGCTACAGTATACGCACAGGGTATGATGGTAATATTTAAGTCGAGGGCTATGAATTATATATATTTATAAAGGGGACAAGTGTGTATCTTAAAAAAAAAAACGTCACTCTGTAGGTAATATTGATATATTGCAAAATATTTTTTTCTTCTGAAAAACAACATAAATATAATATAAAATAAAATAAGTCATACAACAAGAACAAAAATAAAGTTTTTAAAAAATACACCGTATGTTCCATATTTCTACTCTGATCTAAAAATAACATCATTTAAGCTGAACTTCCATGTCAATGGAAGACTTTTAAGATTGAGAGGAGGGGCTGTTCCACTGGAGTCCTCTGCAGACTCATTTTTCTAAAACTGTTAGAGTAGTTAAATATTTATATAATTAAAGTTTGAATAAAAACACTAAATATATCTCAAAAACTGATAATTAGCAATGGATATAATGATAGAAAGTCAAAATTTGCTTAAAATATGTATAATAATGAACAAAAAAAGAACTATACAATTCCTTAACATCACACTGGAGTGAAAGTAAAATACCAAATTTTAGGATAGGGTGGATCATTTGGAATTTCTCTCTGGCATTGACATCGTTACTCATCATAGTACCAACTTACTTTTTTCTCCTCGTAGCCTTGTTCCCTTCACTGTTCACATTTAAGGTGGCTTGTCCTGTTTATTTCAGTGGCCTGACTTAGCGAGTATTTGAGTAATTCGACCTGAAGCCTGCTTGGATGAAGAAATGTAAAGTCACTAAAAGTAATAATACTTTAACAAAAATTATAACAAATGAAAATCTAATTTAATAATTCAGAAATCATTATAAACTTATAGGCATTGATACATCTCACCATCTCAGTGCACACAAAATGGGAAACCAGCCATATATTTATATTGTGTAAGGAATTATAGTGAAAACAGGTGGTAGTCAACATAACGAAATAGAGGACGTGAAACCACCACTCTTTCGCCTGATTTGGCAACTTTTATTGATTCTTTTTGTTTTGGGCCCTTCAACGTCTTTTTTTAAGTTCACTCAAAAACACATTACTGTGTGGATTTTACTGGAAAAACATTGATCAAAATTAAAGGCACAAAAAATGTAAATTTGTAGTTAGCAAGGACACTACAACTACAGCGTCACAAGTCACCACACTTTGGTGGTCAATTTCTCTCTAATTTTACTTCTGACACCAGGCGGCTTCGACCTTCCTCAATCACACATAATATCAACATCTAATTCGAGATGAAAGAAAAGCAGTGCCCATTATTGGCAGGGTCGGTACCATTCGGTTAAGTTGTCAGGGCTGGGCAGATTTTCCTCCATGGAGGGGGGAAAAGCTACAAACATGGCACAGGGAACCAGTGAACTCGTCACACGATGAAGTTGACAAAGCTGAAAAAATGTGTGACGAGTTCACAGTAAAAAAAATATCCAAATAAAAGTGAATTCATCACACCATCTCCCCTATGTAAAGCCACCAGCCATCCTGAATGATCTTGCTCCATTTTTAGATTTGTTTTATTGCATACAGAAAGGACATGCACATTTCTAACAGGTTTTATATAATCCAAAAATGAGTTTGTTTTCTCTTGAAAATGTTGAAACAGAAAGGCAGACATGTGTGATTTTGATTCAATAAACTCTTGTTTTGTATTTTAAAAAAATATTTTTATTAATTAAAGGTTGACATGTGTGAGTTTGCCTGCCAATCCACGGTGAACTCGCCACATGTTTTTCACAAATTCGAGTATGTGACGAGATCACTGGAGGTATGTGATGACTTCATTGTGTGACGAGTTAACTGGAAGCCGAGGCACAAACCAAAGATGACCTTCAAAAACCGTGTTTGTTTCCAAGGCTGCAAGTTACAACAGCAACAGTAGCAACGGTGACAGTAGCCTAAAGACTACCGTATTTACTACAGTCTTCAAACTTGTCAAAGCTATGTGAGGACTTCCTTCCGTAACGAGCTACCACCATGAGACAGAGTAAAATATAGAGGCTAGCCGAAGTACGGCTAGCCACTTCGAATTTTTTTCAAGACTGTGAGATCATTACAAATCAGTATTTTATCGTCTCAAACACGACGATCTGTCGTTATTTCAACAAAAACACTAAGCGTTGACCCGGCCGACGTCACACTGCCCCCCGCGCCGAGCGAGTCGGCTCTATTGTCCCTCGTGTGCGGGGTCCCGTATGCTTTCCGAGTCTCACGGAAGGAGTGATGCAAAATAACTCCAAGCTGATACTTTATTCTAATAGAAAATAAACTGATCTTTTAATTGATTCCTCTTATGAGCCGGTATTTTACATAAATTTTGTGTAAAAAATTATCTTAAAAAATTTTGATGGTATTTTTAAAGGCTTTCTATTTAAATGCCAAAGGCCAAAACTATACTATGGGAAAGCCCGTTTAAAGCTCTACAGTTCTCCGCCAATAAAAAGATGGTATTTAATCATCCCTCATTCTGCAAAGCATTTGAATGCACGCGTGTCAACTTTTGAACCGGCTGACCACGCATTCCAACCGAGAGGGGCTTCGCTTTCCTCTGCGATTCTCCAGCTCCTAATAATCAGACATAAACAACTTACACCATTGTAACGAGGAAAAGCTGAACCTTGACAAGGTGTATGGCATTTGGTGCTTTATAGTGAAAGACCAAAGAAACAGCGATCAGAATTACCCCGATTTCACACGATTGGAAGGTTGCGAGTGCCCGTGAGGCCGTGTTTACGCTACCTACAGTAATGTACGAATTATTGAGTTCATCACGTTTGCACTTTGTGTTTAATTGATCTCTTATCATTTTTGAATGGCTCATTCAATCAGCTTTAAGAAACGACATGGTTTTATGCCTTTTATGGTGCTCTATGGAAATTGCCTCCCCGTTCCAATTGATAATTTGCCATGTAAACATGAAAATTGTGGTTTTAAAAAAATTAATCATTTTTGCAAGGGGGCCCCCTGAAACCCTCTACTCAGGCCCTGCCTCTATCAGGGGGGCAAGCCCCCCTAAAACCCCCCTCTGTTATGGCTGGTACACACATAAACACGGTGGGTCCACCAAAGTTCAATCAGGCCAAAATAAATTTTTAAAAATAAATTATAATTAATTTTATATAAAAATATTATTGGCTAATGTGGTAGGGTTCACTTAGCATATGGCCACTTTTGGGTGCTTTTTCAGCAGTTCCCACCCCCCTTATCTGAGCCTAGATACATCTAGATCTATTTTTGTGTGAGGCGCGGCGAATTAAGATATCAAACCTAACAACTAGGGGCGGGCACGAGACGAGCCGAGTGCTCGTTTCTCGCGAGAAACGCCCTTCCGGTCACTGCCCGAGCACTAAACTACTGCTCGGTACAGTACGCAAGAATTATCTTTCGCATTATTCTCCGCAACAATTGAATTCAAAAAGTTCCGCCAAACATTTTGGCAAATACAAAGAAATATAAGGGTCGGAAAAAGAGTGTCTGAATGGGGCTAACGAGAGCCGTGTGTGATGGCATAAAAATGAAGGACGTGTGTGTTCAGCGATGGCGGACGCAAGTGAGAGGCGCACGCGCCAGGCGAACAGGGCTCGGCGGCTCAGCACATCGTCTGTTGGCCGATCGATAAATCTATTTTTAGATGCAGCGCTGGTGGGCGAAACAGATTCACGCGATGGTTTTCTATCAAAATTTCTGAGCGGCCTTTGGTTCCCTTGAAAAAGGGAGATTTTACGATTGGCGGATTTCCGACTATTGGCGGAAGATTTACAGGTATTAACAACTGCAAAACAGGGCCCCCCCCCCCCCCACCTTATTTTTATTAGGTAAGTGGGGCCTTGCCCCCTGAAATCCCCCTACTCTTGGGGCCAAAACCCGCGAATAACAATTGTGGGGTGGGAACTACCGAAAAAGCGCCCACTTGTGTCCATAGCAATCACTTAGAACTGTTTCTTAGGCTCTGTGTAAACAAACGGGAAGGCAATTTCCAAAGAGCCCCCCCTTTCATCATCTGTTGAGCCATTTTGGTCATTTTTTGGTGCTTTTTCCGTAGTTCCCACCCCCTTATTTGAGCCTAGATCTACATCTAGATCTACGTTTGATGCGCAGCCAGCTAAGATATCAAACCTAACAACTGCAAAACATTAACTTGTCCTGCGCCTGTGCTGAGATGCGAGTCTTATCAGAAACTGATTACGTCGGACGTTCCGGGCAGGCCGCAGGGGTCACTCAGCGTGTACTGTTGGTGTACAGGTGCCGGAAAACATGTGTTTTCGCCATGAGTACCGTGGCAGTGTGTTAATCGATGATGAAAATAATGCTCTATCTTTCATAATAAAGTGTTACAAACACATGAATAACCCCTCTCACAAGCTGATAAGACATTACGAGTAGTTACGCCCTATCAAATAACCTTTCTAGACGCTTTTGCTGTTATGAATGACCTGAGACTCGAAAGGGGATTTTATATAGGTCAATTTCCGAATGTTTTGCACTCAAATTGTTCTTTTTTCCTGCACAATTATAAATGGTATTCAAAACTATCAAGCTTATTTTTTATCATGTAGTATCATTTCATACAAAATCAAGCTCATTTGAAAGGTTTTGTATAGAAAAATCAAAGTCTTGTTTCCTGACTATCCTTTCGAGCTCCTCATGTCTAAGGGGGTCAATTTCTTCAATGATAATGTCATTGGACGAACATCTAGAGCTATCAATTTAGCGTGTTTTGAATGAGACGTATGCCTCGATTACGAACCAACGCAGGCGGTTCTAGAAGAAGGCCACAAATGAACACAAACTCATGCAGACTGACGCACACACACTTGACCTGCGTGAATGGGGATCCAACGCGGGACCTGAATTTAATGTGAAATGGTGCTCGGCCGGCATGCGCTGAGCCAGGGGCTAGACTGACTCGGGACCAGAACGCAGGCGAGGTGCCGAAATGAAAGGCTTGCCGAAATAGGCTTATATCGGACGACATAAACCCTGCCCCCATAGGACGAGGGTTAAATTACGGTAAAATTCAGGGGGGCATGCCTCCCATAAACCCCCCCACCATTTTTTATTAGGGCAGGGGGCAAGCCCTCCTGAAACCCCCCTACTCTTGGGGCCAAAACCGGTGAATAATAATTAAGGGGTGGGGACTACTGAAAAAGCGCCCATTTTTCAGAAGTAGGTACACATCTCTCTGGTATCTCAGCCGATAGATCTATCACTCTGCCAAACCCCCATGTTAAGTTAAGGCAAGTTAAGGCAGTTAAGGCCTACTGATCTGCCATGGCCATGGCGGCGGGGCATTTTTTGCGGGTTACTTCCTGTGAAACGCTGATGAGCGCTTCTAGGTTTAAATTTAAGTAGTACCCTCATCTGTTCGTCTCAGTCTTAGTTCTAGGTTACCGTGACTGGGCTACTGCAAGCTTGTAGTTTTAGGTTGAAAGTGGCTATTCTCACCCGCCCGGAAGTTCTCGCATGATCTACTCCTCCCCTCTTCGGCTGGATTGTACTTTACCGGACCACCCGTCTCGGCCCGTGATTACTACGCACGCCTAGCCTAACTACGCACTCATAGTACTCTGCGTGCGGACAAAAGGTAGTTCCGCGGGCGACTTCGCGCACGCACAGCGAAGTCAGCGGCGACTGGCGAGGCGAGGTGAGCGAGAGGTGGTGGTGGTTGAGAGTGGGCAGGGGATTTAACTTTGGTGGACCACCGTGTATCATACCAACAGTGGGGTGGGGGGGTTCAGGGGGGCTTGCCCCCCTGGAAACTATTATAAAGAAAACACACAAAAATGCGAAACAATAACATGAGCGGACAGTCGTGTTTACATATCAGTGGGGGGGGGTTTCAGGGGGGCTAGCCCCCCTGGCAACAATAATTTAAAGACACTCACACACACACATATAAACAATAGCATGATAAGTCGCGAGCAGGGCCAATGGGGTTGCAATTATGCAAATGAGCTCTCGTGCCCATCTCTAGCCCTCCATTGTACTTTGCCGGACCAGGAGTAGGCCTAGGGCCTAGGCCAAGCCAGCAGAGTCGCGAGCAAATAAGAATAGTGGACCACGTGATTAGATTGACCAATTAGCCTCAAGGTGTCAGGGTCATGGGTCAAAGGGCACAGTGGCACGGTCGTGATGACTGAAAAACCCGGTAAGAGACGGCAGTCGATTGCTGGCAGTTGAAGAGTGAGGACGTAGAAAACTGAGTAGGAGAGTGAGTAGGGGAGCTCGGAAACGAAGAACAGCGGGCCACTAGGCACCAGGGGCGCCACAGCAAAAGTAGTTCCGACCGGTGGTCCGGTAAAGTACAATCTTACCCCCTCTTCTCTCTCTCTCTGTCTCTTTCTGAATACTGTCTATCGGTGTGGACGATCAAATTGACCAAAACAAAGTTAAAAAATGATGTTAAAACACAAAAGTAAATTAATTTGGTTGTCTACAAAGATGCTACGGCTACTTAACTTTTCGAATCGAGCCGAACTACGCGAGTCGCCATTTTGTTTTGTTCTCTCTCTTTCTCTCTCTCTCCACTGCCCACAGACAAAATTGTACGCTTTTAGTAGGCTACAAGTCACAAGTACAGTTGTAATGCCAGTAATGGAACGTTTGTTCACAGCACAGAATTCTACAATTTTTCTGTTATCACAGTGTAGAATTCTGTGGTTTAGGGTGAACGCAAAATTTGTTGACCTAGATCTAGGCTATAACGGTAAACGCGCACCGGGTGAGAATAGCCAAAAGACTCGCCTGCACTATTAGAGGTGGCCTTTTAGGTTAGCGTGACTGACAAGGCTACTGCAAGCTTGTAGTTTTAGTCAGAAGAGAAGAAAGACAAGAGCACAACTCCATTTCATGAGCTAAATATTACGCATTACCAAGGATAATGACAACAATACTTTTTCATAGGACGTCCTGTTTACTGCAGATGGCGTTCTTGTGTCCTGGCAAAGTTATTCAGAACCAAATCGACAAATACATGAAGTAATGTTATCCCGTTACTGTTTGTTTACAACATTGGCTTGTGTATGACGCCATTTTACCGCACTTCTCGTTTGACCTCGCGTAGTTCGAGTTTTGAACTTTTTTTGTTTGAAAAGATTGGCAAAAATTCAGTGCACTGGTATTGTGTTACAGTTATCTCTATTGCCTTGAGACTTTTTTTTTGTAGATCTAATGAAATAATTAGGCCTAGATGACTTCCAGCTGCCATCCAAGACTGAAGCATACCTGATATTCCTGGCTGTCACCTCAACTTGCCCTGTCACCATCTTCACCATGCCTATTATCACCATCACAACCTCCACAAATAACAACATCACAGCAATCTGTTTTTTTCTTTCTTTTAAAGCTTTTCATGAAGGCACATACGAAATTAGTTCGATGACAGCGCTCATAGGAAAAAGAATACAGAAGACCAGCTAGGGTATTTTATGCGTCTTTCCTTTTTTTTCTTAAATTCAAAGAGAACCTGATAAGATAAAAATGGATATTGAACCATGCCATGAACGCTGTGCAGATGTCCGTTTCAGGTCTGGCACTTGAAGTGAAGAAGGAGTTATAATATGACAGAATGACAAACATTGTAATTTATGTAAGCCTACCGGTAATGATATTACAATTTATTACAAACTTGACTTTCCTCCCGAAGATTACAAAAATACACCTAAAATTACACAGTATCAGGGTACATTCTCAAATCTATGGGGATAGTCAATTCTTTCTGTAAACACACAGCAGCTTGGGAATCTAGCTTTACTCGTTTTAAGAGTTGTAGTATAAGGTATGGACACTATTTTAAAAAAATGCATTTTTTGAATTTTGTAAGACCAGTTGAACTGAGAGGAAAGTGGAATACAAAAGGTACTTTATGCGAGTAGCCATTCTCGTAGTATACAAATAAGAGGTATATGTCCAAGAGTGTATTTGCCTCAAGCCTACATAATAATATATGATAGGCCTAGATAATCTAGATCTAGATCAAGGAGATTAAAAGTAAATTAGTTCTAAGCTCCTTAATCTACATCTAGATTCTAGATCTAGATTTTACGTATAGGCTAGTTGTGTGTTGCTGTCACTATTTTCTTATTTCAGTGATTATTGTATTTGCATAGAAGAGACACGTCCCAGTCTAGTCTGTTTCGCGCAAAGTAGCAAACAATCACTAGATCTATTACTATTAAATAGTTGATCGGAGATCTCAAACGAACAGATTTATGTACCATAAAATAAGGGCTAGTTTATTTTTAAAAAACCTTTAACAGCCTAGCGGAGATCAGGCACTTCCGGTTTCCGTTTCCAATTCGTCGTTGACCCTGACACCTCGGTCAACAACTTTCATACAAGGCTAGGGCTAGGCTACACCAATATTTTTATTTCGATTTAGATGCCCTGAGCATCACAGAACTTTTAGATATGGCTGTGAATAAAAGACCATGGGATCCATGGATGATGTATGACGCAACACCAGAGGAACTCCGAGCCATCAAGGAACGTGGAAAAATGAGACAAGCTTTGAGGTCGGAGTGGACAAAAAAATTCACGAACCCTTGGAAATCAAGTCACGATGGTGGTTTTTTGGTGAGAACCTTTAACAAATGTGCTCATCTAGGGAAATAATGGCACTCCTGTACAATTGCGGTCCCGTTTAGGGATACTAGTCTAGCTTTGACCCCCACCAACGATTACTCCTGGTACTAAAGATTACTTTTTACTTTTTGATTTTGATGTGCCTCAAAACATCAAATTATGGTAAAATTCAGGGGGGGGGCAAGCCCCCCTGAAACCCCGCCTTGCCTTGTTAAATACTAGTGAAATTTTACTGCTCATTTTGTAGGCTAAATGTAGATTCTAGATCTAGATCTAGAGGCCTACTGATAAAACATCGATGCGGAATATATGTAAAGGCCACCTCTATTCTCACCCGGAGTGAGAATAGTGCAGGCGAGTCTTGTGGCTATTCTCACCCGGTGCGCGTTCACCAAATTTTGCGTTCACCCTAAACCACAGAATTCTACACTGTGATAACAGAAAAATTGTAGAATTCTGTGCCGTGAACAAACGTTCCATTACAACTGTAACCTACTAAAAGCGTACAATTTTGTCTGTGGGCAGTGGAGAGAGAGGAGTAGCGCGAGAATTTCCGGGCAAAACAAAATGGCGACCCGCGTAGTTCGGCTCGATTCGAAAAGTTAAATAGCCGTAGCATCTTTGTAGACAACCAAATTAATTTACTTTTGTGTTTTAACATCATTTTTTAACTTTGTTTTGGTCAATTTGATCGTCCACACCGATAGACAGTATTCAGAAAGAGACAGAGAGAGAGAGAAGAGGGGAGGAGTTGATCTTGCGAGAACTTCCGGCGGGTGAGAATAGCCACTTTCATATGTAAATCAGTATCAGTATCGATGGCCAGTAGTCTTTGCTTGTGGATTTAGTGCTAGAACTATGGGACCGCAATTGTGCAGGACCTGGCAACGATAATAAAGAAAACTCACACAAATGCAAAAAAATAACATTAGCGGACCATGGTGTTAAGTGGACAATCGTGTTTACATATCATTATAATAACAACAGTGGGGGGTTTCAGGGGGGCTTGCCCCCATGGCAACAAAATAAAGAAAAAAACCCCACACACATAAATGCAAAACAATAACTTGAGCGGACCATGGTGCTAAGAGGACAATCAGGGTAATTAGAGTTGGAACAGGCCGAGCCTTGCTTCGCAGCACTTGCCAAGTCACGAGCAGGACCGAGGGGGTTGCAATTATGCAAATTTTATGAGCTCCAGTGCGCATCTCTCGCCCTCCATTGTACTTGGCTGGACCATAGTGTTGCAAGCAAAGAAAAGAGTGGACCTTGTGATTAGATTGACCTATTAGGGTTTCAGGGTCCTTTGTCAAAGGGCACAGTGGCACGGTAGCGATGACTGAAAAACCTGGTAAGAGACGTCAGTCGGTGCTTGGCTGTCGAAAGGTTAGGACGTAGCCTAGGAGAGTGAGTAGAGGAGCTCTGAAAGGAAAAATAACGGACCACTAGGCCCAGACACCAGGGGCGCCATAGTAGTTAAAATAAAATAGTTCCGACCGGTGGCTACCGGTGGTCCAGTAAACTACAATCTTACCGGAAAACTTAATTAAATATAAACATACTTTTTGCCTCTTAACCCTAAATCTAGAAGCGCAGCGTTTCACCGGACGTAACCCGCCAAAAATGTCCCGTTGCCACGCGGTTCAGCGGAGGGATATCAGCTGAGATACCAGTGATGTATACCTGCTACTGGAAAATTACAATTTACGGCTCAACAGATGATAAAAAGCATATAAAACCATATCTTTTCTTAACACTATGCCCCTATGGGAAGCTGATCGGCGACGGTAAGAAGCCATCCCTTTTCCCCACGGGACGCCGATCGGCGACGGTATGATATAGCATGTACCCCACCTGTATCCTCGTCCATAGGGATAGTGTTGTGCACAGATCTCTGCGCTGCGTGGGTGAAAAGTGTTAAAGCTGATAGGATGATCCTTTAACTCACTTCAGACGGGTCACACAACAGTTGCGTGACCCCCGCCGCGACGCTCGCGCCGGGTCTCACAAGCCCTGCGTGACCAACTTTGGAATTTTTTTTTCGCTCTACAAATCACGCACAGATCGCGAGACCCGCCTCGTACCCTTGTTTGGCCAAGCCTGAGCTACTTAGACTTCGTTTCGTATCTCTGGGGCCGGTAGTTTTTAAGTTATTGAAGGTGAAAGACAGTGACCCCAACTGGAGTTGAACAGACCGAAACTCGCGCTTTGTTTTTTTCTATACAGCTGATAGTAATCCGACAGTCGCGTCGTAGTAACGGTCGAAGAAGTCGCATGAACAAGAATCACACATAATTTCGCCGTTTTCTATACTTCTGTACGTTTTACTAGTTCTAGTGTCTCAGAATATGATGTGTCTAATAGTTAGGATCCTGGATATGTACCCGAACAAGCCCGAGTCGTAGTTCTAGGGCTAGATCTAGCACTAGTACCGGTGTTGTTTTTCGCGCAACGAAATCACAACGTCGTGCTGTACATCTGTCTCATGTAATTCAGTGTATGGGTCTGAATCAATGCACAGACCAGCTTTTATATTTTCACCAAACACTCGCACATGTATACAAATCAAACCAGAACACTTTGAACTTTTTTTGTTGTTGTTGCAGTGAATTTCATTCTACTTGTCACGTCTCTGGAAATTTTTCGGCAGATCAAATTCATGCCAATTTTTTTTAAAATCATACAAATTAAAGTATTAGACTTAGACAACTTTAGTTTTTTGTATTAGATTAAGCTTGAATGTTACTTTACTGTGTCAAAAAATGATTACAATAGGGTGATTCTGAGAGTTGTGGTGATTTATTGAAATACCCCCAAAAACGCCAGTCTTCAACGCTTGGGACTGGTGAAAGGGCCCAGTCGCAAGTGAGTTAAAAAATGATAAGCGATCAAATAAATACAAAGAAAGCGCAAAACACGATAAACTCAACACATTAGCGCAGTGGAACAAGTGATAACACATAGCGGATAGCGTGTAGTAGCTCAGCTGGGCCGCGTCACTTTATTGATCGATATCTTGGCGAAGAGAGGCTCTACGAGGTCAAGATAACTTGCAAAATCATTGGTCACTATTTATAACTTTGACCTGTAATTTACTACGTCATTTTCCACAAAAGGAATACTCAAATTTTCCATTGAAAAGGTCTGGGTCCATGCCCTTTATATAGGGCCTGCGTGCTTCCCAGACATGACGAATTACAGAAATCTCAAACACTATTTCCAATCCCCGACGAATTCGAGTTACCCGTATTTGACTGTATTGTGTTTGGTTTAAGTGGACTCTACTGTAATGTGTAAATTTGCCCACAAAGACTGCTAGTGAACCAACCACCAGGGGTACACACTATACATGGTGCCTGACACTTGCTTAACATCTGCACAATGATAATCCCCCTTTCTCCCAAATGACTATGGGAGCAACCATGACATGCAGAAAGCCTGAAAGCTACCTCAAAGGTTTGTGCAAAGGGAAGTAACTCATAGATTTGTCCTTCATCTAGTAATGGTAGAATCATTTCTCTTGATTTGGGCAGTTACCTTAACAGGTGAGTATAAGGACCCTGTTATCCCACCTGCCCTGCTATACCATCAAGTCCATGCTCCTGCCAAGGTTAGCATGGGTTTGACTGTACTCGAAAATGTATTCTTCTTGGTAAATTCTTGGGTAAATACCCCCTCTCCCAAAAATAAAAGGAAAAAAAAAATCTAGCAGGTACTTAGGTTATATTTCAATGTAGCTCACAGCGTACGAATGCCACTCTTTTAGTCGGCGTGGCAATGGAGTGACCAGGTCACTGTTAGCCGGGTCACAGAGAGGTCACCAACCCCACCTCACATTACTGCTTATGCAGTTGTTAGTATTGTTCAACACATGTTTTATCGGCTTACACAAAGAAACAATATCATGTGTATACACAAGTTTGTTCTTTAGAGAAAGCAACTAAACTTCTTAATATTGGTACGAAGAATCAATACCATCTAATAGATCTAGATTCAGAATTGTCAGTGATACAAAACCTATCATGAATTCTGAATGATAGCACAGATTGAATCCTGGCTGTATAGGAAAAGCATGCAATTTTTTCTAGCTGATAAGAGTCAATATTCAATGTCATTGTGCTCTTTCTTTACAGTTTGATCCCGCAGTGCAAAGATTCATTGCTCTGAAAGCTACCCAAGCAGAAAGGTTCAAGGGCACATTCAGATCTGCAGTTGTATCCAGCATTTTATTTGTTTTGCCTGTAGCTATTTTGAGTTACTCAACTATCAGTAAGAAGGTAAGTCAAGCATTTGTTTATTCTTGCGTTTGTATAGAGAGGCTCAGTAAAATGTGCTGCATCACTGAGGATCAAGGTCTGGTTGACCAATATTCCTAGGAACCTGGAAAAACTGGGGAGTTGTTAAAAAAACCCAACAACTTATTTATTTAATATTCAATTCTCTTGATTAAAAAAAAAAGAAGTTTTATACAGTCGATTGCTCTTTTAGGAAATAAAACTTAAAGTAACCTCTGTTAAATGGTTATACTTGTATGAGGATGAGGCCAACAACAGAAACCGGAGAACAATCTCGTATTGTGTTGCTTAAATTATGCATGTTGTGTGTATGCCTTTATTTGGTGATAGATATATTCTTCTTCTTCCTGTGAGGCATACTCACACTCTCCGAGTAATGATTTGCCATAAAGACGTTGAAAATGTTCTGAGTGGAGCTCTTTATAGACATTTGTGACACTATAGACTTCGAGAACAAAAGGTAGCTTGGTAACAGTACTGAAATCCTAGAAGTAGGAGAAAATAACGTAGTATGCTGCTGTGAAAAACTCATATGAAATTGACTTTTCGTGCTAAAGAGCTTTTTTCAATACCATTTGAAAGTGAAAGGGTTTTAAAGTTGATGACCTAAATGAACCAATATATATGGCTGGCATATTCCAATTCATGATTGTCTCTGTTAAAGAAATTTCTGAATGGAATTGTACATTCGCGATAATTTTCCTCAGTCTGTGATTGATGCTTTTGTTTTCAGTGGATCTTTGGCAGGTGCTATGGTGTGGTTTGCTTCTTCTGTCCTATCGAAAATCTATTGTATTTATCTCCCCTCCTTCTTTTTGGTGTTTGTTACTCTCTTGTAACACCTCTAATCTTTGGCACTTATATGACCTTATTGTGTTGCAAGTGCCGTAAAACTCTTACGAAAACTAATTTTTGTTTTCATTGAGTAAAGAAGACCTAATGTGTGCAAAGGGCTACTGAATGAGCTGAATTAGCTGTATTCATTATCTCAAGCTGAAGGGTGGAAAATTACTGCCATGCTGAACTTGAAAGAGGAGTAAATTGAAGGAAGTACCGATAGTGGAAATAACATTCAATGGAACTCAAATTCAACAAGGTCATTGAACCTGGCTTTCAATTTAGTTGAATCTGAGTGTTCGTTAAGCAAACATGAGGTTTTTGTGTAGATGATTACAGGCACCGGGCAAGTAATGTATAAAAGGGAGTAACAAGTGTTAAGCTACCCTAAAATGCCTATTTTTTCCCCTTTTCGACGTGCTCAATCAAAAGTAGTTTGGTGTCAAATGAGAGACATTTCGTTTCTTTGATGCCATACTGAAGAAATGCTGGAAAGTTCCTGGAAAAATAAACTGAACTCTACCAAGCACATACTGCACAAAAGGGCCTATTCCTTCAAATGCATGCTTGTGGCGTGTATGGCGCATTGCTGGCCGAAAAAGTTGTGTTGCTGTAGTGTAGAGCCTAGCATACGTCAACCTTTGATTCCACAGACCAGTGCGCATTTCATTAAGTAGATCTATGTGAAAACTAGTTTATCACTGTAATATTGATCAGTAGCCAAGAGGGGGGAGGGGGGTGGATGGGATGGCTGACGTGTGTGTGTATCTCTACTGACGTTCCACGCCCGGACCCTCCCCCAAGACACGCGTACACACTGTCACACATATGATGGCCGCCTGTCCAACTCTGACACACGCAAAGACACGTGACTGTGTCAACACTGAGTTACAATGTGTATGTTGATAGGAAAGAAGGCTGGTGAAACCAAGGACCTTACAACTCCTTGAGCGAAACAAAGAATGGGAGAGCCCACGTGATCCTACAATGAAGGTCGGAGCGAATGAGTGGAGAGGGTGTGGCGCAGACAAGCAGAACACATTGCGTGATAGGCCAGCCTAGTCTAGTCTAGGTTTATCTAGGCCAGGCCTACCTTTACCATGCCTTTCACTTCTCCGATGCGGGGATGGAGAGGTCGCAGTGCTGTGATGGATGGAGCGAATGTGTGACGTGCACAAGCAGACGGAACACACCACAGGGTGTGGTGGGGTGGGGGACAATACAGCAGGCGAGTTAACACAGAGCCCTTTCTTTCTGATTGCCAACGCCGAGCTGTCAACATTGCTAGCGCTAGAGAAAGAAACCTGATTCGATTTTTGATCAAGGAAGACCAAGAGGTCATGTTGAACAAATTCATCATCAAGGGAGATAACAAAAAGAAATAAACAGAACACCAAACTCATAGATAGGCCCTACTCTATTATTTCCCTTGAATTTTTTACTGGATCCCTTATAACGAGAATCCTGCTATAACGAACATTTCGCATGTCCCTTCCCTCTCATTATAACAGGATTCCACTGTATTTTTTCTTATATTCGATAAATATTGTATGAGAATGTGTACACTGATGACTTGACACTTTTTGTCCGATAAAGGAATAAAAAAAAAAAAAAGATTTTTAGTTTTGGAGTAGCTTACCGCAGCTCAAACAGTTTTTTTGCGTGGAGGAAGTTTTCTTTTTCTGGTAAATTTGCAGGGAACTAAGTTTCAAAGTACTGATACTGTTTACTGTAAACAAGGCTTGTTTAGTGATTCTGAGAAGAACAAAATTTGATAATTCCGTGGGGAGTTACGTTTTGTTTTTGAAAGGTTTATTTTTATTATGTACAAAGTTGCCTTATATAGATGATCATTACTCTCGATGCTTTTTATGCATGTATCATTAACTAACATGCTTGATGTGTATGGACAGTGAATGCTTTTATCTTTGACTTTGACAAGTACATTGATTATGCTTTTTTGCTTCTGTTCACAGGAAGAAAGAGAAAAACGCTTCCGAAATGGTGAAGTCATGTACAAAGACAGAGAAAGCAAATTTTTCTATTAGATAGTGTTATCAGTGCGAATAGTTGTTTTTTTTGTGTGTGTGTGGGCGTTTGTATGGAAGAGGATTGCCGACCAATGCTATTAGTAGTTTGTGGAAGCAGTCTGTGCTTCTGATTGGAGGAGAGTGTCACTAGTGTCAGTGTTTCTCTTGTAGAGGAACAGAAATGAACTTGACAAGACAAGTAGCTGCATGATGCAATTCTCATCAGTCACTTAAGAATCACCTCCCTTGAGAATCACCTTGCAGATGAAGCCAGTGATCCAGATATGACTTAGTTTTCTCAACTCACACAAAATGTTTTTCTGCTACAGGTTCTAGTTCTGTGTAATGTGGAGATTAAAAGACAGTTTGGCTAAAACTGTAATGTCCATGCATCTAGTGGAAAAAAGTCTGCTTGATTGATGCACTTTTTGTGTTGGTCTTCTTTTGTTTTATAATAAACTTAATTCTGACAGCCATGAATCAGGGCAACTCGTCTTTTTTCCCAAATTTGTCAATATCTTTATCTTTGAAATGTGCCTTTAGCAATGTTGGTTGAAGCTGCCTTGGTATTCCCTCCTCCCTTTGTATTCCTCTATTGCGTAGATATATATGTTTCACACTCAACTGTGATGATTTGTTTCTCTTCCTCTCTTGTATTGATGTTTCTATTGTGTTAATTTGTTTCTTTTCTTCTATTGTGTTGGTGTGCTGTGGGTCATTTTGACCCTATCCGTACGCCCTGGGTTGCATTCTTCACATTTAAGTAAACTTCTACTACTTCTAGTGCTTTGATCACTGAAACTTTCAGTATTTCTCAAAAAATCATTTTGATAGACTACTATGCAAAGCATACGGATCGGATTAACAAGTAAATTTCCTCTTTAGAAAGTGGTGGCACAGAGTTCCCCACGTTGTATGGATACGATAGTAAAACACGGCGTACGGATAGGGTTAAACACTCATTTGTTACAGCAAAAGGGTGGGGGGGTGGTTGGCGAGTGCTCTGCTTTGGTTTGTGGTTTGCTCCATGTTTCCTATCAAACGTCTCTCCTTCTTTTTTTGTGTTTGATACTCTCTGTAACACCTCTAATCTTCGGCACTTCACTTATATTGACCTTAATGTGTTGTAAGTCCTGTAAAACTTTCACTAAAACAAACAAAACAGCTAAAGGACCTGGATGTTGCCCAGAAATATGTCTTTGATGCGGACTCTCTGTGTATCTGAGGCCAGACTGGTGGACAGTGTCACCTGTGCTCGGTGATAAATTTTCTCATTAGAACATGACACAAGTTTGCTCAGAGTTGACACAGGACAGGATTTTAATTAAGCTGTTGTTAGCCTTCCTCATTTATAGGGTATATAAAAATCATTAAAATATATGGGTAAAATGGATCACCCTTGCTGCAACGACCTTGCTCAATGCAGAATAATGAACATGACAATTAAATACAAACTAGGTACCGGTACATGTGGGTGGTTGGCGGTCCTCTAGTATTGTTTGCTCCTTCTTTCCTATCAAACACCTATCGTTGGTATCTCTCCTTTTAAAATGTTTGTGCTGTTGTTGCTTTCTTGCCGTGGGTGTTTGGCGGGTGATCTGGTGTGGTTTGCTTCTTCTTTCCTATCAAACATCTATCATCCTCATCTCCCCTTCTTCTTTTATTTGTTTGTTATTCCCCTGTAACTTACCTCTAGATCTAATCTTCTGGCGCTCATATAGCCTTACGCAGTTACGAGCGCAGTAAAACCTCTACTAAAAAACTGCTTTCTTGCAGTTGGGAAGTTGACGGGTATTCTGGTGTGGTTTTCTATGCCTCTATCGTCCTTGGGCTTATCTGTCCTCCATCTTTTTGTGTATGTTGCTCTCTTGCAACACCTCTAAACTCTAATCTTTGCACCTATATATATATATGACAACCGTGTTGCAAATGCCGTGAAACTCTTACTTAACCTATTGGCATTGAACAAACATTCACGGACTTTCCTATCCAACTATCGTCTTGATCTCGCCTTCTATTTTATGTTTGCTACTCACTTGTAACAGCTTTAATCTTCGACTTGACTTAAATGACCTAATGTGTTGCAAGTGAAGTAAAACTCTTACTAAAACCCAAAACTATGAAGAACCTTAGATGCCCCAAAACCGCTACGGTTCGATCCTCGACAAGTGCCAAAGAACAGCAGGAGAGCTGTAGTCATGACCTGAGTGTGGCCCGCCCCCTGAGAGAGTTTCATGTAGTGGTAGTAGTACTGGCAGTCCTCTAGTTAGAGCCGAAACACTTGCTTGAAGGGGGTTCTTCCTCTCTAGATCTCCTGCTGTCCGATCGCCCCTCAAGTTTTCTCCCACAAACTAAAAACTAATTTCTCTTGTACTTGTACATGACGCAGTTGTACTTTTACTTGTTCATCCTCAGTTGCCGTAAAGCGTCGAGGGGAGATGCGGTTTTATATGATAGGCCAGCTCCGCAGCTGTTTCAGTTGGGACATTATGATTTCTCAGGGTTTCCCCGACATCCTCAACCCACCTTTTAGTGGCCTTCCTCTTCCTTTGTATTACATTATAGTAGGCTTCGTTCCCGTCGGGGGAGGTGGGTGGATGCAGGACACAGCAGGGGATAGATTGGTTTGGGTTAAGTAAGGTGTGATTTTATCATTATGTCACTGAGGCGTTACGCTGGCTTGCTGGCTAAAGGGGATCTGGTGAAACCGTTACTGGCCTGGCAAAACAGCGGATAAATCATGCTACGAACCCCCCCCCCAAAAAAAATAAAATATA